AAGGAGTTTGATGGCAAGACCCTGGTATCAGTCACCAAGGAGGGGCTGGAGCTGCCTGAGGATGAGGAGGAGAAGAAGAAGATGGAGGAGAGCAAGGCCAAGTTCGAGACCCTCTGCAAACTCATGAAGGAGATCCTGGACAAGAAGGTGGAGAAGGTGAGATGGGCAGGGAGCTCAGCCCCAGGCTGTGTCCTGGACTGGAGGTAGGAGGGCTGGGCCCTTCGTGATGCAGGCAAGGGCCCCAGCTCAATGCATGCCTCTCATCTCCCTCATCTCCTGCAGAGGAGCCGCTAAAGGAGACTGGAGGTCCCAGCATGCACTGCACCATCTTGCTCTAAGCAGCCAGGCTGCAGGTGAGGGGCACTGACCCAAATACGTGCATTGATGGGAGAGGGTAAGTGTGGGAAACATGCAGTGGGTGCTGAAGGTGCTGGCTGAGCTGTCCAAACTGGTCTGTGCAGCAGTCCTGGAGCTGCTTGGAGGATGTCTGCTTGCTTTGGGTTGTCCCCAGGTGAACCTGGGGCAAAGACCTGGGGTATCATGTGTGCTGTGGCTGGGGCCAGTCCAGGGCGTATGGGGACCTTGCTCAGCTAACCCTTGCCTACATTGGCAGGTAACTATCTCAAACCGGTTGGTCTCATCTCCCTGCTGCATCGTCACCAGCACCTACGGTTGGACAGCCAACATGGAGCGCATCATGAAGGCTCAGGCACTGCGGGACAACTCTACTATGGGCTATATGATGGCCAAGAAGCACCTGGAGATCAACCCTGACCACCCAATTGTGGAAACCCTCCGCCAGAAGGCTGATGCTGACAAGAATGACAAAGCTGTCAAAGACCTGGTGGTGCTACTCTTTGAAACTGCTCTGCTGTCCTCTGGTTTCTCCCTGGAAGATCCCCAGACCCACTCCAACCGCATCTACAGGATGATCAAACTGGGGCTTGGTAGGTGTCCATGCAGCTTCTCGGTCCTGAAGCAGGTTAGCTGGACAGGCTAGCAGTCCTGGGGCATGGGGGAGGCCAGCAAGGGAGCCATGCTGGTGTGATGTGCAGAACTGGCTGTGGGAGGTAGTTAAGGGCAAGTGGAAACATGGAACAAGGTACTTTAGGAGGGCTCAGGGCTCTGAGTGGGCTGTCCTGTCCTTCACGAGGCCAGGAGCCACCACCAGGCTGCTCAGATGACAAACTGATCCTTTTCAGTTCTTCACAGTGAATGTTAAAAGTCTGCCATGGGAGATGTGGTGTATCTGGTGAAACAGCTTGTGCTTGCACCCAACTTACTTCTCCAAACTGGCTTTTTTAGGCAAAAATGTAAATGAAGAGGTGCTGTGGCTTGGCATAACTACTGGATGCTAATAGCCCTGTCCCTGAGGCTGTGGGCAGGAGTCACCCTTTGCTCTGGAGGAGGCCATTCCTCTGGGATCCCTTGGTGTCACTTGGAGGCCTCACCTCTATCTTTCCTCCCCTCTCCCAGGCATTGATGAAGACGAGGTGACTGCAGAGGAGCCCAATGCAGCTGTCCCTGATGAAATCCCCCCTCTGGAGGGAGATGAAGATGCATCCCGCATGGAAGAGGTAGACTAAAGTAGGAGGAAGCCTCCTCCTCACCTGCCAGGCCTCTGCCCCACCTCATGTCTGCTCCCACCAGCAGGAGGGGGTCTGCTCCCACCAGCTGCTACTGACTCCTTGGTGGTGTCTCTTTTTTTGGATTTGGTTGGTTGGGGTGTTTTTTGGCAGGGGGCAGGAAGGCATGATTCCCTGTTCGTCAGTAGTGAGTGATTAAGGCAGCCCCAAGCCTGTCTGTTCTGTGTCTTTCTGCTTGTATAGGAACAGCTGATGGGGAGTGGAGGTGAGGAGGCATGAGGCTTCCCCTCTCTCCCCTCCATGGGGTCTCCCATGTTCCCAGTAGGCATCAATTGTTCCATCGGGGTGGGAGAGCCCTTCCTCTGAGCTGCTGCCTCCCCGAACCTGCAGGGTAGGATATTGTATTTCGGTTGGCTTGGTTATTTTTTGTTTGATTATTTTTCTGTTGTTTTGTTCTACTGGAATTAAAGTATCAAAGAATGTGGTCTACACGGTGTTTCATGCCTGCCATACGGAGCAAAGGGTCTCAGTCTGTGCCTGAGGGTATCAGGCCCCTCGTCTCTTCCCGTGCCCTGACTGCTTTAGCTGATCTCTACCCCTTCCCTGCCCAGCCACCATGAAGCGGGTCGGAGAAACACAAGACCTGCTGTGCAGGTGGGCTCACCTCCAGCAGGCAGTAGTTGTCCACCCAGAGCACTGCATGCCCCACAGCCTGGGAACAAACCTTTCCAATCTGCACGCCTCAGCTGGGCAAGCTGCGCCAGGACCTGAGCCTGCACTGCTGCTGGCTGGGCTGATCTGAGCGTCCCTGGGGGCGGGAGCCGTGGCAGGGGCCATCTGCCTGTGTCCTGGCAGTCCAGAGCGGGGGGTGGAGTGACAGCTCAGGACTGTACTCGAGCTGCCTCTCTTCAGATCTTCAGCCAAACTGCTCTTGCTGTGTGCTCTAGACTCCACCTTTCCTCCTACCTCCAGCCTGAACTTTCTGGGCTTCTGCAGCCCTGCCGGGGTTGGCAGTATCTGGCCACCTTCTGGCTTTTGCCTGTGTCCCAGATGACAGAGAAGCCTGGGGCATCACCTCTGATTCATCTGCCCCTTGCACTGAGCTCACACCCTGTGAGCGGGGTTTGTCAGTCACTCTTGGCCACAATGGCCCCTGGGGTTTGGCAGGGGAAAGTGACACCAACATCAAGTTCTCTTGCTGGCTGCTTGCCAGCAACCACAGGCACAAAATGGAGTGGGCTTTAGCCCATACCCATCTTCAACAGGGAAGGAGGAGGCAGAGCCTGCTGAGTCCCCTGTTGCACACCAAGGCACTGCAGGGTACTGTGGCAGCTGTTTGGGTGCAGGCTGCTAGGGCAGTGCTGGGGCTGAGCTAGCAAATGTCTTCAGGGTGGTTTTCTTTCCTTGAGACAGGATAAAAAAATTGTTTAAAAGTAAGATTTCTCTCTGGATAGAAAGGTTTTGCCAAATAACAAATCAGTAAAGTCAATTCTTCTTTTTAACTTAGAATATTTTGGTGGTGGTTTTTTCCCACTAATTTTTTCTTTAAATCCACAGTTAAATTAGAAAAGGGATCCCATTCCCAACATGGCAGACAACCTATTTTTTTTGACCAGAGAAAAAAAAATCCATTCCATTTTTAGTCTGTCAGCAGATGGTGGGGGCAGTCATTTGGGGGAATTTGTAGGGGAAAGATGAAGGGCTGTGAGGCTGCACAGGCACTTTCAAGAGCTCAGAGCTAGGAAAGCAGCATAGGTAACACTCTGCTGGAGAGCCAAGTGCTCTGAAGCCTGGGCTGTGCTCAGCACCAGCTCTGTTACCCTGCAGGCTCAGCTAACTCAGTGCTGTGAAAAGCAGGTCCTGTCCCTCGTCCCCTCCTCTGTCTCTCCCATAGCCTCTCCTGAGTCTCCCCTTTCTCTAGCTCTGTTAGTCCAAGGTCCTGTCTCTGAGCCCAGACCTCACCATGACCAGATCGCCTAGGCCTACAGACAAGGTTTTAAGGTTTTTCACCAGGCCTCCCATATGTACTGGTGGGATGTACCATCCACAGCCTGAGCCTCCCCTGGCTCTGGTGTGGATGCACCCCATCAAGGATGGGCTCCTCCTGGGCCGTGTTACAGCAGTGGTGGCCCTGGCTGGCAGGTGCTTTGCAGGTCTCTGCACCATGTCTATCTAGCTACGCAGGCTGCAGCTACCCCCATGGGGGCTGCCCAAGCTGCACTGTGCAGGGAACCCAGGAGCCAAACCAGGATCATGCTAACAGCTCCTCCACCTGCCCACCAGCATAAGCAGAGGTCCAAACCTGGCTATGCTCCCCAGCTGAGTGTGGAAAGATCTTGTTCTCACCTGCTGTCAGGGTCCAACCCTGGCTGATACTTGCCTGGGTGAAGGCAGAGGCATCTGTGTTTAGAAAGGAAAGACAGACAGCTTTGCTGTCCCACAGAGACTAGGGACAGAGGAAGGGTTGGGAACTCTCTCCCCTCCTTCCAGGTACATGGGAAAAAAAAATAAAAATGAACATTTACCCCCAGGGCACTATATGCAGCATATTTTTAATTTAATAAAATAAAAAGAGAAAAAAGTTGCCTTTCAAAAGTACCAAAACCTGCTGGCTTGTCAGTCAGGTTGTGTTGAGGAGAAAAGGGTTTAGTAAAACCCAGGCTCCTGGGGAAAAGCAGCTTCCACTGCTCTGTCCCCTGCTGCCTGGGGAGCAGGTGCCCGCTTGCTCCATCCCCTGCTGCCTGGGGAGCAGGAACAAGGCACCACAAGGAGGGGGCTCTGGCCAGGCCCCAGGAAAGCTGGGGCCGATGCCTCCAGTTGGCAGGAAGAAGAGGGGCTATTTGTGCTTCTCTGAATGGCAACTACAAAGCCCGGAAACTGTGGCACTGAGACACCCTGAGGCGATGCTGGGGCTTCTGGGCAGCGCAGCCTTTGACCTGTAGCAGCAGTGGATGTAACCAAAAAGCAACCTAGGACAACTCAGCAAGCCTTGGGAACCGTACCGGCCAGCCTCAGTCTCTGCATAAAAATCAGCCTGGGCTGAGGGGAGCGAAGAAAAGTCTCGGAGCAGGGGCAAGGAACTCATAAAACCAAATGGGGACATACCGGCTCACTGCAGAGTGCCCTCCCAGAGCAGATCCCAGGCCTGGGGTAGGACAGGCTGGGAGTCCTTCCCTTAGCTGTGCCTGTCCTACCTGGAGCACCTCCTGGGAGGGAGGTTGAGAGCTCCCGCTCCTTGGGACAGGCTCAGCTTGGGACTTGCCTCACATGGAGGTGTTTCAAAAAGAAAGCTAGTGTTTTGCTTGCCCTTTCCTCTTGCTGAGCTCTGTAGTAGTGATAGAAATGGAGCAGCATCAGCCAGAGGCAAGATGGTGCCAGGGAAAAGAGCTCCCGTATTCATCAGTGACTTTGGAGTACCAGCAGCCCCGTGCTGGTTTTTCCCCCAGGGTGTGAGCCCCCAGGCCTGTGCCTTGGCTAGAAGTCTTTGACCCATTAAGGCAAATGGAAAGGTTTGGAGCTGTGGCAGCCCAGAGCATTCCCTGGGCTTGTTCCAGCCCCTTCCCCAGGAAAAGCAGGTGAAAAAGTGAGTCACTGGTCCAGCCTATCCATACCCCACCCTGCTCCTCAGCGGGTTCTGAGAAATGAAGCAAGTGCCCCGAGTGGAGGCAGGACAGCAGGCATGGCTTAAATGCCATGGCCCCAGCTCCTTAGACCTTTTGTACAGGGGTCTCGCCTGGCGGGAGCTTCTTACTGCGCTTCTTCATGCGGCTGCGGGCGTAGACGCGGAGGAAGAGGGCCATGAAGACAACGGCTACGCCCAGCCCACCCACAACAGTGACAGTGTGCCCGTAGATGAGGCAGGAGAGGAGGATGGCAAAGGCCTGGCGGAGTGTCATGATGATGGTGAAGACGGCTGCCCCGAACTGGTTGATAGTGTAGAAGATGAAGAGCTGGCCGCAGGCAGAGCACACTGAGAGCAGCACGGCGTGGGCCGTGAACTCCGAATGGCGGGCCATGAAGCGTAACGACTCCAGCAAGGCACCCTGCTCCAAGAGTGAGCCCACCGTGAAAAGGCAGGAGAAGACGTTGACGCCAAACATCATCTGCACAGGAGACATCTTGTAGGTGAAGAGGGCGTCCTGCCAGTTGGAGGTGAAGCTGTCGAAGATTATGTAGCCGGCCAGGAGGACTATGCCTGAGAAAGTGGTGACAGTGGACACGTGCCTGTTGGGAGCACTGGAGAGCAGGAACATGCTGACCCCCACAGAGATGAGGGCAGCAGTCAGGTACTCCCAGTACTCGTAACTCTTGCGTGACACCAGTTTGCCCATCATCATCACTGGGATGACTTTGGAGGCCTTGGCCAGCACTTGGGTGGGGAAGCTGATGTATTTGAGTGCCTCATACTGGCACCAGCTGCTGAGGATGTTGGAGAGGGAGGCAAAGGAGTATTTGTACATAGGAGCCCCATGGCGCGGTTGCTTGGTCAGGGCGCAGTACAGACCAGCCACCGTGAAGGCCAGGATGCGATTCATGAACACTAGGAACTGAGAGTCCTTGAAGTTCTCACCAGGGTCCGTTTCAGTGGCACCGTACGTTCTTGTCATCACACGCTCCTGGAGGACGCCCCACGTGAGGTAGGAGGCCTGTGAAGCAGGAGGAGCACAGGGAGAGTCAGGATCCGCAATAGCAGCTGCAAGCAACCACGGGAAGAACAGACCCCAAGAGATCCTTGCTTGCCCCAGCGTTGCCTCGTCCTCTGCACGGCAATGCTTACCTGAGACACTGGGAGATGGGGCCACCCCCCACTCTACCCGTCTGAGGGAACCCACTGTCCCATGTGGTTACAACCAGGAACATCCTGTCCCAAACAAAACCTGCTCAGTTTACAGCCTCTTCAAGGGGAAGGAAGCCCACAAAGCAAACATCCTGGCGTACAGCAAGCGGTTATGTTTTAAGCAGCCTGTTGAACCAGACGGACAGGATCAGGGAATGTTACCGAGGCACAGCTGCAGTTTTGGTGCCAGCTCCCTGCGGCAGGTCCTGGCAGTTCCCCCAGTGGCCTCTGCATTGGTTTTCACTTCCAACTCCCTAGGCCCAGTTCTTCCATCCAAATCAATTCTAGTTTCAAACCCAGCAGATGAAATTGTCCTCCAGGGATGATCACTATTTTGGCTGTCACTTCTACTACTTCTGCAGCCTTGGTGCCACAGTATCAAGCCCCTCACAGAAGTAATACAGACTTCCTCTCACCACACATCCCCTCCCCTCCCAAGAAACTGAGGCACAGAGGGATGGAAGGACATGTTGGCGACCCGCAGCAAGTCTGAATGGGTTGGGATAATAGGCCAGAGAGTGGGTGTCCTCTGCTGGTTGTGGGACGCGTGGGTTTTTCTATTACAGTACCCACACTTCTATTTTTAATCCTCGTAGACCCGAAAAGCTGCCCTTCCTAATGATGCTCAGGCTGTAATTAAGACTTGGGGAAACTAAGATTAAAAAAAATCTTTATCTGTAGCTGAATTCAGTATTTCTCTCCAGTATTCGCATCCAATCCATCAAGGCAGGACGCATCAGCCCCAGAAGGTGATTCAGAGAAGAGCCTGGAGAGATAAGAAGGCTCAAACTATCTGCTGCTCTGACATGAGGGCCAGAACAAGAGCAGCCCTAACAATCTGCTGAATCACAGAATTTTCCCTATCTATGGCTGCAGAAGACTGTGATCGGACAGACAAGAGGTCCCAACCAGCTAAAAGGACCACCACAGCCCTTAGAAGTGACATGGCAGCCCTGGTGGACTACCCTGGTTGAGAGGCTGTGTCCCAGCCTCCAAACCTGCCCCGATCAAGTACAGCACTGCATCCTTGGTCATCAAGGAACTGACGGCCACAAACCCGCTGCCCACCTCCTGCTCCCAGAGTGGGATGGCCACACACACATGCACAGGGTCCCTACCTGTAGACCAGCAGCACAGAAGAGCAGCTTGAAGACCTGTCGGGCTGTAGAAGATTCTGTGGGCTCTGCTCGAGGTGGCAGGGAGCCATCCTCCTGGTGTACAGACTTCACCTCGGAGCCGAACACGCATGATATGATGACAGGGAAGCAAATGCCTCGGCCTGAAGGGGGTAAGAGAACACAGACACAAGAATTAACCACAGCCTGGGCACCACAAGCCACACCAGCTTGAGAGGTGAAGCCTCCCTCCTTACTAGCCTCTGCATCTGCTGGCACAGGAGCCTCAGAGAAATTTGTTTCAGCGTAGCACCTAGACAGCTTTGGGATGCAGCTCTGCGAGCAGCTCACTCCTGGTCTGACAAAATAGGTCAGGGAAATGACCTGTCAGCGCTGAATGGGGTGTGGAGAGCTCACAGGGAGGCAGGATGTGGAAGGGAAGCTCCTGCCCTTACCTGTCTCCAGGTAATTCTTTCTCTTGAAGTACTGGATGAGGAGGAATCCTGGCACCACAATACTCGCGTAGCCAGCAGCATTAACAAAGAAACGGAAGAGCCAGAAGTCCCCCCACGAGTCCTGCGGGACAGGGGGGATCTCTTCACCAGTAGCCATGGTAGGGAGGGAAGCCAGCACGAGGGGAAGGCAAAATCTGCAGAGAGGAAGAGGCAGGCGGTAGGCAACTGGCACACGGCCATCTCCGTTCCGCATCCCTGCGCCACCCAGCCTGCTCCCCACCAGCAGGCAGTACCCAGATCCCACGACAGCGATGATGGCAGCACGTGGAGTAGGAAAAGCCCTCTGGAGTTCAAGAGCACATCCCAGATGTTTATGTGTGCTTCTGTTAAGGGTGTTTGCCCTGGCTTAGGAATACATGGACTTAGAAACTTGGATTTCCAGGATCGGAGAGAACATTTGAACACTGTTGTAACCATCTGGGTTTGACAATGCCCTTACTCCAAATGCAAGAAGCACCTCGCACCTCACCTTTTTAGGTTAAACTTTAGCTCCTGGGTAGAAAAACAAAAGGTCACTGAATGGAAAAAGCAACTCCTACCTGGCAGCTCATGTTTCAAGCCTGTGGCCAGCCTTCCTCTGAGAGCAAACAGTTCAGAGCTCCCCCTCCGGAGGGAGGAGGAGGAGAGCCGGGAGGGCTCAGGCCGCCAGCCTCCCCCACCTCCCCACGCAGCCCTGGAAGAGAGCGTGCCAAGGCATTCCCCACAGCTCAGAGGAAATTACCAGGGCTCACCCACAAGACACAGCCAGAGAGCAAGGCTGGGAAGGAACTTTCCTACCAGATGGCTAGTTGGGATTTTACCAGGACTATCTGATAAGGTATAGCTGATACTCTTTAGCTATAGCCCTAAGGTGGTGACCTAGCCAGCTTTAAAACAGCTTTAATACTCCCTGAAGGAGTTCTTCCCTCCACTGCCCCCTCCCTCATAGAGGCAAACCTGCGATATTCAGGGGCCATGCAAAGAACAAGAGCGCCAGGTACAAAACAGAATGAGCAAGCTGGCAAGGACTTCCTACACCCAAGGCCACCTGCATCCTCCCCTCACACAGCAAGCCGTGGATTCCTGCATCAGGGTGGGCGGTTTCCTTGGTCCATGCTCCATCCCTGCCTTGGTCTCTCCGGTAGAAAAAGCCTCCTGATTGCCTTGAGGGCCAGGTGAGGGTGCTGTGGGGCTGGCTACATAAACACGCACCAGAAGCAGCTCTGGGATCCTGTGACAGAAAGGGCCAGAGATGTTAATCCCCTCTCCCCCCAAAACAACTGAGTCATAGAATTTAGGCCCTTGTGAGGTGTACCTGGCCCCAACGTAATATAGCTGTGACCTCTAGTAGCCCTCACATGAAACTCAGAGACTTACAAACTTAGAGCTTTAAAGGCAAGAAAGTCCCCTGCCATTTCATGAACAACAAGCCCTCCCTGCCAACCTCTTGTCCCCTTGGGAAAGGCCTCGGGGGCTTTTCTTACCCTCAGTTGGTGTGGCCAGGACCCCGGAGTCCAACAACCTGACCTAAGCCGAGGCTGTGTTTCACCCTGAAATCTCCCTTCTGTGACTTAAAGGACCAAGAAATTCCCAGCCCAGGGAGAAGTGCAAACAGCTGGGGATGAGTGTCTGTGCCCGCTTCCTATTCCCCCTGCTCTCCCCCACAGAAAAGCCAGTTTGACACCTCCACCCCTGTCCCCTCTCCTGCTGCAGGGGCATCACTGCAGGCTGTAGGGGTGCTGTAGGATGCAAGAACAGGGCTCGGTGCAAGCACCTGGGACTGAAGTTGCCTACATGCAGCCCGTATTAAGTAACCCTGGTTGCTCACAGCAGCCATCTTGCCAGGGAGAGGGTGCAGAAATGCCATTCGCTTTTGCAGAAGTCAGATATAAACAGCAGAGTCGGCTGCTACACTCATGAGCCACGTCTCCCTTCAACTTGACAGAGACTGAAAGCCAGCCGGCTCCGTTCAGCGCGCCTGCGCCCGCTGTTACCCCCGCTGGCCCCCTCAGCGCCGCCGCGGGAGGAGAAGCAGCTCTGGTCTCCCACAGTGACCGTGAAGAGGAGGCTATGGAGGGACAATGGCTCTCTCTATGCCTGCGCTAGCAATTCCCAGGCCCCCGAGAGCTGACTCAGTGCAGCAGGCCCTGCCCTCCCCACTGAGGCTCAGAAGGAACAGGGATGCCAGTGTTACAGGTAGAAAGGGGGGGCCACGCAGGGCAAGCAGGTGGCA